AAAACAGCTACAATAAATGACAGATTTGATTGTTTGCTGTTTGATATGTATTAAGCAACTAAACAAATGATGGTCACATCAACAATGAAAAGGCTATCTGCAAATAAAATAAATAAATAAATAAAGTATCAGTAAGGCACTTAGCAAATAGGTCATCTTGAGCTACAGGGAGACTACACTGTGATGTTGGATGGAAACAGAATGCAGAAACCATCCTGATGGGAAAGGAGAAGCTTTCTTGATGCTTATGGGCAAAAGAGAAACCACATACCCTCATAGGCAAAAGAAAGCCAAGGGAGCTGAATGGTTGTAGACCATGGGGCAGACCAAGGAGATGATGGAGAGATAATGTCAAGAGAGACCTGCAAACACTTGGTGTAACCAACTGGAAAGAAAAGGCCAAAAAGAGATGAGTGGAGGCTGTGATTTCTGTAGCAATAAACCTGAAGGGTTCAGAATGCTGAAGAAGAAAACTATAATACTCTTTGTCTTTTATGTGTATTTAACTTAATTCCCTACAGATGCTGAATTTTAAACTCTTTAAAGACTTTTTCCAGTATACTGGCGAATGAATTTAACCCTAATGGATTAATCGCCAGTATACTAACGTTTCATAATTATGACATTTAATTAGTTTAGATTTATTCTGCACTCATCCATCTTTAATTTGTTATATTATATGTCCCGATATAGCCAAATACTTTTTCTTCAGGAAGGTTTTAGCTTTGTCGCGTTGCAGTAAAAAAATTCTGCTCAAAATTAATGCTGCCCAAACCAAAGAAAAAATGTGGTCCTGAAAGAGTTAATATTCTGCCATACATTATTAAATTTCAAATCTTTAAAAAACTATATACACACACAAACCAATCCATTTTTAAAGTGCAGATATAAAGAATACTGGATAATATTTACAAACAAAAAGTCACAATTTATCAATTTCACATGTCCAATCAAACTTTGTACATAAAATAAAATACAGAAGCTCTTGTAAAAACAGTATGTACATAAATAAAAAAACAAAGCCATGTTTTATAGAAGATCACTTAGAAAAATAAAAGAACCACTGCCCACAAACAATTAATAAATATTACAACAAATAACTACCCCATCACTCATCTACCTTTAGTAATATTCAAAACATTTTAAAAAGCAAAATATTGACACAAAATAAATTTAAAAAAAAAAAGAGCAGAACAAAATAAGCCAGAAACAAGTTATAAAACACTTGTAAGTAACTATTCTCAATGAAATTTTATTTACAAGGATGATCGATGGAGACAAGTTTACTAAATGCCGGTTAATATTTTTTTTTAAAGTTTATTAAAACCTGGTTAATATAGAAGTTTTGTTAAACCTGTTTTAACAAAGAAGTTTCCATAAAATAATCCTTAATATAGAGAAGTTTATGCCCTACGCTCAACAAATTAGCATACAGCACTGTTGCGGTTACCTTGCAGGAAACATGCCTGGGCGATAGCACAGTGAAAAACAGGATTTCAAACACAGCACACCAGGGACAGGCTATCCTCATCAGAAATGTTGGCAAAGGCACATGACATGCCCAGGTGGCAGGATACCATGTCTCCAACTACAGCCTCGCATGATACATACAGCCCCGGCCATTCACGCTTGTAAATGTTTATGCATGCAACACTAAAATAAGCAGTGAGAAATGGCAGGGTCTTCAGGAAATCCTGGGAAACACGACACTACCACACTATTACCAAAGCCAAGAAAGGTCTACTGGCAGTAACAGTTATGGCTGCTATGGATTTTGAACAAAGGCTGCAATTCAATGAAAATGCTCAAGAAAATCCAGACTGGCTTTATCCGATATGAATTAATTCTCTCACTAAATGCATCGTCAAAAACGCGCCTAACCTTTACATTTGTGCTGGACTATGCAGGTGTTAAATTTAACGAGTTAGCAGATTATCTGGCAGACAAAGTGATCACCACGACTGTTCCGGCACTGGACAGGAGTGATGTCATTAATGCCATGCAACTGGATATCGCAGAAGATCGCGACAACTAGCAAAACTCTAGTATCCTTGTTCATGTTGATGCCCATGAGGGTGCAACCTGGAGTAACCAGACATGAACTTTTCACCAAGGGCGCAAGGCATCTGGTTAATCAACACAGAATTGGCGCGATCAGTCATTTTACTTGTCGGGCTATTGAGGAGGAGATCGGAGCACCTATGGATATGACTGGAGTGCTGTGATAATAGTTTTCCCTAATAGAAAGGTTTATAAAAATAATGGTAAATATCAAGAAGTTTACTAAAATATGATTAATATAGAGAAGCTGTTCAGAACTGCTGTCAGTGTGACTTAAATAATTTAAAAAAAAAAAAAAAAAAAACTGCAATGTTATGATGTATGGACAATACAAAGAATTTGAACAAACAGCCCAACGCAGGAAAGACCTAAGAGAAATAACTGAGCTAATTCTCCGTTCCGGGGCCCCATTGTGAGAGAAATAAGAACAGAACAGATCCACTGTTCCCTAACAAGCATGTCCTAAGAGTTGACTAACTGGTGTCTCCTTCAAAATCAAAGAGTATTTAACTGACAGTCGAGGAACCAACAGCTGTAAACAAATAAGCCAGATCTATACAATGGACATGCAAGCAAAACTCAGACTCTGAAATGAGGTTAAAGTCTGCAGTGGACAACAACCAAAGCTTTACGACGGCATTTACAGCCAGTTAACGTGAAGGAAAAGACTGAGCTACGCTTCTGGCGGTTAAAAAGCTGGTGTACCTCTTTGGAAGATTAATATGAATTTGATACAATATAACCTTCAAGGTATAATATGAATGAAAAAAAAAAAAAACTGCCCAGTGTAACTGGATAAGCAGAAAGGGGGGGGGGGGGGGTCGGAGAAATGATAAAAATACCAAGTATGCAGCAGTGTCGTATATCACCATAAAGAAATTTGAGAAAAACAAGAAGACACATGGATCAAACCTTTAAAATAATGACGAATCAAAATAAAAGGTCATAAAATGATTTACTTAAAAATCTTACTCCGTACTGAAAGTTGACTGTTAAAAATCTGTGCTACAATGCACTCACTCCTGTCTTTGGCAATATAACGTGTTGAGGCCCCAGTCTCTTCCACAGTGTGATTCTCGTACCACTGTATTAAAAAAAATCCCTTTTTTTTAATTCGGCGGATTCAAACCCTAGTGCCCAACGATCATCGCTGCTCAAAGTTGATTGCTGGGAATCATATATTTCAAACTATGATAAAAGAAAAAAAATCACACTAATTCAATAACTCGCATATAGTACATTTCTAGAAAGTCACATGAAATCAGCTTCTTGTGGTAATAAATTCTAAGAAGTCCAGTTATGTCCACTGCATGAAGTCAAGTGAAGGATCCTTGTCCACACCTTCAGGGGTACTGGGTGTATAGGGCTGGACCTATATTTTATAGACCAAACGGCACTAGGTGTGTGATGGGGTCAGCATCAAGCCGCCCACATTTACTTCCCAGGACAGAACGTGGTACCCACTCAAGAGGTGGTCGACATGGAAAAGCCAAGGTCACTGCCTGATGTGACTTTCTGTATTTTTTTGCAAGCACAAAATGCCCCCAAGTATAAGATGACTCTTACTTGTTTAGCCCACAATTAATTAATAAATATTCCCTGTCTGGGTTACGGGTCCCACTGAAGAGAAAACAGGAACACACCAACTGCCTCCCCAACAAGCATGTCATAAAAGTCGACTAACTGGGGGCTTCCTACAAAGTCGGAGTGCATCTTCCTGAGAGGCGAGAAACAAACAGCCTGCATACAAAATAAGCAAAACCTGTGAAACGGATGCGCACAGACAAAACTCGGGTCCTGGAACAAAGCCAAAGTCCAGAAATGGACGAAAAACCAGGTCTTTCCACCCGGGTTTACAGCCGGTGAGTGCAAACAACAATAAATATCTGAACACACATTTCGTGTATAACCGTAAATTTTTAAAAATTTCAGAAAACATATCTTACACATGTAAAAATTATATTGACAGAAAAATAAAGTCTGATTTTTCTAATTATGATGAAAAACAAAAGGAAGATTTTTCTGTACCATTAGGAATACGTCAATACCATATGATCTGGGTCATCTGATAAGCTAAGATGCTTAATGAGAAATACATTTACCTATTTGGTTTCTGCACTTTGTGCCCAAGAGACCTAATGGCGTGGAAAAAGGTCCTTTACTTTTACTTGTTACCGCTTTAATAGAAACAAGATATTCCAAAGATCTTTGCTACATTACTAATCTCGGCAGGAGGATGTAATCTACTACTTTCAACTCTTGCATTATGGTGAAGAGTTAAGGACTGGAAATTGGAAGACACATGCAAACTTCATTCATTTGAAATAAATAACAGGGGGGAAAAAAACCGATGGAAAAAACTGCTCTATGTGATGCATTGTGAGGTAGGCTGGAAATATTTAAGTACAATAAGCCAAAAACATAGACAGTGCTAAGTAATTCATCAGATTGAGATTTTCCACTTGTAATAATAATTGTGGTACCCCAAAAAAATAAACTTACAGATACTGCAAATATTTATGTAGAGTACTACAGAAAAGAGCTGCAGAAGAAGGCAAAGAATAGAAAGGTCTGCCAATAGGAAAATGTATGTGCTGTCTCTCACAATGAAGACAGGCTACAGTGTACCCTGCTTTCTTGAAATTTAATGTGCACAGACCCCAATCTCTTCAACGGTGCGACTCTCGTCCCATTTTCTGAAAGCCACGAGAACAGTTTTGTCAGGAGCTTATGCTCTAATGGGAGCAATGGGCAGAAGAAGAAGAAGATTTTTATTTAAGACAAGGAAAAAAAAAACAATTTCAGATAGAGTATCTAAGGTTAGGGCAACAAACGCAGCAATCATTATCACCTGACTTAATATATGTATAAGCAATATATAAAACAATTTATTTACTGAATACATTCAAATTTTGTCATGTCGCTGTATGTTGGGGTAGCTAGACTACATCTTTCTGCACCCATTTCTTGTATGCATGATCACTGAACTCCAGATCCGTCACTTCTGGGCAGCGTAAACATCTGCAGATGATACAGAAATACAATTACGTTAGTGACATGGGTAGCAAATAGTTTAAAATGTAGCACCAAAAAGAAAAGTCAGCTGTATTGTTCCTCATACTATAGGAACCTGGTCATTATCTAGCATTCGCAGAATACATGAGAAGGTGGCTCTTTCAGATTCTTCTTTTTTTCGGTTGTCCGAGTAACGTAACTGAGTTGTGCCTGTTGTTTACAGCATAGGTGAGATATTTGCACCTTTTGCTGATACATCTAATTTCATCAGATATTTGTTTCTCGGGTTAGACTTCTGGGATAGTTTCACGGGTCATGACGTAGCCTTATTTGTGTGGTGTCTTCTTTGTCGCTGCCGCATGCTGATTTGGGAGAGTGTATTGTTGTGTGAAGGGACAGAGTGGTATGATAGTACTTTCCGGGAGTTCAAGGGGAAAGTGTCAACACTGGCCCGAGTAGTGAGGGGGAGAGAATGTTGACCAGTGAGAAGTGTAATGTCACGAGAAAGTAGACGCATGGGTTCACGGTGGGGGCTGACAAGCAAAGCTAACGAGAGAAAGTCTGAATTAAATAACAGCATGATTCTCATGTAACATCAGCCACCCTCATATGCGTGATTCTCGAGAGAGCCCACATGAGCGTGAGTCTCAAGAACGCCCACATGAGCATGATTCCCGAGAACGCACACATGAACGTGCCTCTTGTGTAACATCAGCCGCCCACACGTGTTCAGCAGGGATATATTGGGGCTGCATAGACAGTCCAAGTCTGTGAGCTGTAGCCAGAGGGCTAAAGCACTGGGGAAGTACGGGTGTAGTACACACCCAGCACAAGAATGCTGTACGTCAGTAATATGGGAGACCAAGTCAGAGTCCAAGACAGAGAGAGAGACCAAGTCAGGGTTTCGTGGAGACAGAGTATCGAGAAACAATCAGACAGCCAGGTCTGTGTAAGGGTTTCGTGGACACAGACGGAGTACCGTGCAACTATCAGGCATCAAGGTCTGAGTAAGGGTTGTGGTACGGAAATTATCCAGAGTACCGTGCAACTATCAGGCATCAAATCCTGAGTAAGGGTTGTGATTGCAGTACGTGTCGAAGGTATAGTTCCGCTGGTCAAGTAAGGCCAAGGTGACTGGATGCTACAAAAGTGAATGTTCTGGGTGACGTCACATGGAAACAAAACAGTAGGGATGCTGACGAGAGCTGTGTGCTTGAGGGGACTTGTGTTAGAAGTCCTGTCTGTCATCGGAGTCCTTCGATAGGTTGATTGCTGTGTGCACATGCTGGAGAACGAGCCAGTGAAGTCCGATTCCAGTCAGCCGTGGTTGTCTGCCAAAGTAATATTAAGGTCCAGTTGATAGGAGAGTTCTTCCTGTTCTGCTGTACGGTGAGCCCAGAGTTGTGGAAAGCTGTAGACCTTCGAAGCTGTAGTGGTCAGGGAGAGGACGCTACAAGTTGAGAGAGAGTGAGCACTATATAGACTAGGTGCGAATGCCAATTAGGATCAAAGTCTATGTCTCTGAATAAGCCGTTTTGTGGATGTGAAGGCTTGTGTATACCCTCTTGTGTTCTGTCAAATAAATATGCTATATGACAGAACTACTGTCGCCGAGTCCTGCTTTGAGAGTGTGGGAGCGAAAGTTATATCTATAGACACTTGGGAGTGTGCTGATTAGCGTGTAACTCAGATAGCACACAACAGTCGCCTTGTCTGCAGGTGTCCCTGCAGAACCCATCTCCGATCCAGTGTCCGAAGAAGCTCAGCACAGTGCACAGGCTCTGTAGCATCGGCGAGGATCCTGAAATACTTTGGGTAGATTTTTAACTCTAAATTTTTTGCCTGGGCAGTGCTGTTAGGCTACTCTTCTCGATTTCCAACTGCCAAGGGATTATTTACGTGCGCAACAATGCACACAGGTGTCTGGTCTTACTACCCAGAGACCAGTGGGAATAACTAGAAGTCCAAGTCCACGTGAACAAATCCCAGCTCTCACAGGGGATTGAACCCACAACCTCTAGCACTCAAGTCGGACACCATACCTCAAGACCACGCAGGAACTCATTAATTATAGCCCCCCATTATAGTAGTCTAAACCAGGGCTATTCAACAAAGTTTACCCAGGGGCCAACATTTTGAAAATGTGGTATTTCATTGACCAAAGCCCCAGCATAGATACAACACAACTGGCAATGATCTGCGGGCCACTTGCTAGGTCTGAGGGCCAAATTTGGCCCGCAGGCTGCCACCTGAATAACCCTGGTCTAACCAATCAGCCTTGCAACAATCTGCGACAGTCACTCCACATACATAGTTTCTACTTGCACTTAATTAGATCACATGGCCAAACCCTCAACGTCCACAGTTTGCATGAACATGAACACAGTCATCACTGAGAACACATCTGCACCATCTTTCCCTCAACCATCAAGCGGCGTAGATTTCTTACATTGGCAGAGAACTCTCACACCTACTGGTCTTGGGGTCCTGCTGCACTAACAACCTCTTTCTCTCCTCTACTGAGCTGTATTCACATTTCCCCGCTCTACGCTAACTTCAGGACCATGATACCAGGCTTTCTAGAAGATCTGCAGCACGTGATATGGAAGCTAGAAAAACTGAAGTTATCAACTATGAACTACCCAGACTGAACATGGACACAGTTGCTCTACTGCAGCGGTTCTCAACCTAGGGGTCGAGGCCTTTTTCTGGGGTCAAACGACTCTTTTACAGGGGTTGCCAAAGACCATCCCAAAACAAATATTCATTGAGGTTATGAAGAAGCAATGAAAATAATTGTACGGTTGCGGGTCGCCAAAATATGAGGAACTGTATTAAATGGTCGCAGTATTAGGAAGAAAGAGAACCACTGCTCTACCAGAAACTAACTTCACTCACACATCCACCTTCATCACAGGCTTCCTGTTAAGCAACCCCACATCAATCTTCAGTTTTTTAAAATTCTACCAACCAATTAAACCTCTTACTTTAATACTTAACACTATTTCATGCAACTACATTCGCACATTTTTTGTTTGTTCCCCAGGAAAATGCTTTGTTCATTACTACACTCCAGATCAATTGAAAGATGCCCAGTCTCTCCAGCTGATTACAATTTATGCCAACACATCTTGTAAAACAGGTATCTGTCAACACTAATATTTTCCTTGTCAATTCCACACAATTGTCACTGTGCAATAGATTAACCATACTCAAAACATGTCTACCACATCATCAGTTATGCAAAATATTTTTCTTCCTGTGCTGGATGAGTTCAGCTACTACTCAGATGTTTGCCAAGCAGCTGATGTTGGCCATAGTGAACGTCTACAGCCTCTATTGTAAGTCTGCAAAACTTAAGACCTTCCACTTTCTTTTGTATGTATATTACTAATATGTAATATAAATTCAAAGAAATATACATGAATGAATGTATCCATCGTTCTAAAAAATTAATTATGTAGCTGCTGACTTATTTCTCATTTATAGTTATCATCTTCTTTTGCTTCTTATGTACAGCAGAACACAACACATGACACAAACTTACTTTGGTTCACTGAGGCCATAATCATAACAAGAACTACCGACACACTGACAACAGCCGTGCTCATGAAACCACCTGTACTTTGCTGCTCCCATAGACTTGCAAGAGGTTTTGCATTTTGCCATCGACATGCAGTCCGAAAAAAATGCCACAGTGCAGTTTTTTATTCCCAGAATACGCTCCGGCTCTTCCTTAAGAACGTTTGTTTCATCTGCTTTTCCTGGTATACAAATATTCGGGTTTAATGCACACACCTTTAAATAACCATATATTAAGGTAAGATACAAAGGTATGTGATTGATGAAAACCTTAAATTATGCTTAAACATATAAGAGTTTAATGTTTTTAAAAAGAGAGAGAGAGAGAGAATGGTTTCATGCACAAGTGTGCTACACAAACTTCATAAATTATACTCCCATTATACTATAATGACGCACAAATACCTTCCTTATAAAATACCATAACGAAGGTATGATGACTATATATATATATTTTCTCTTCATGTCACTGTTGACACATAAGGCATCATAAGTGATTCTCTATTGTTGTCAGTATGCTACTTTCCATTTCTACTTATTTGAGGTTTTCTTATGTTCCCATACATCTCTTTTTGTCATTTGCCAAAATGTCATGTTGCATTCTGAAAACATGTCCATCTCCATTTTCTGCTTTTATTAATGTTTGCTGGGGATGCATTTTTTCTTTAGTCAGATGTACCAACACCTTATTTATTAAAGGACACAATGAAAAAAAAAACATTGCACCTTAATTATCAAATGACATCTGGGAGCTGTGATGTAGAAACATGCTAATTATAAAGACATGCAGGGATGTGATCGCCAGCACGTTAGTGCAGCCAAAAGACCACTAAGAATGTTTGAAAGGAGAGTGGCTATCTCAACCAACAAAGAGATGCAGCTTTAACCCTTTCACCTTGAGAAGCCGCAAAAAATAGCACTTCTGGTTAGGTCGAATTCCCCATAAATGTCACTTTTCCGACTTGCCTATAGTGACCTGTTTATGAGATGCAAAGTTAATGCTACTGGCTGATTTCATACCAGCGCAAACAATTTGGAGGTCAAGATATGAATATATTTCAACTTAACCCCGAAGAACCCACTGGGTAATGTGTGACCCAACCCAAAAACTCGCTTCAAAGACAAGTATAATTTATTAACAGCGACAAATTCTTTCCATTATGACCCGGTGTGACATCTGAGAAACTTAAAAACAGTAACTCTAACATTTTTGAACAAATCAACGCCATTTAAGTACCTTTAGAATATGAAATTTGTTCTCCACCTGGAACATGGTCTGGGTTTTTTCCAGGGTTAAAATAGCACTTAGGGATTTCCCCTTTAAACAAACAAGTTTTATTAAAGCCAAGATGATGTAACATTTTCTCGTAAGCCTTATTGATAGAGGTCATGGCATGAGCGACCGAATATATGTTTTTCAAGGCTCTGAGAAATGCATTCCATTTAATGTTTCCATCCTGTTTGTGTTTACTGACTACTCTCTTTATAAAATGATATATGGAAGTTGTGATGCACCTGAGTGTAACCAGAGGGTCTGGCTGGCTTTCTTCACTCAGAAGAAAGGCAAGTCAAAGTTTTAACCAGATTGCGATTGGTACAATTAGTACTGAAACTCTGCGCTGTTGCTGAAGATGGCGACAAAGTGCATATTGCTGTGATGTCAATTCTTGACTTAACTCAACTCCCTTTATATATCTGTTTATTTTCGGAAAGGGGGAGAGGGGGGGGGGGGGGGGGTAGATTGGGGTGAGACAAGAATGTAGATAAAACATTTCAATAAAAGCATTGGTGATGTGTAAAACTGTTTGTTTAAAGACGCCGTACAGAATGCACCCTGACTTCGAAGGAAACACTTTTAGTTTACTTTTACTGCATGCAAAATTTTTTTTTGGGAAAGGGGGGGGGGGGGGGGGCAGTGGCTCTATTCTTTTTACCTAAAAATGTAGCCTGAAACCCATACAGGGTCTTTCTTTAAATAAAAGTAGTCAACAACAACAACAAACAAAAAACAACAATCAGTTTAAAGAAATAAAATTATACTTACCAACTGTGATTATTTTAACAGCTTTATCTGTACCTGGGATGAAAGCCAGTTTGTCCAAATCCACTGCGTAAGTGAATGTTGTCCATCGCTGTTGGTGGTCCACCTCTTCAGTCAACACATTGAAGAGATCAGGTATGGGATCTGGTAGATCCTCCACAGAGCTGCTCTTTGTCATTTCATCAGTGGGATCCGGGGGCGGACACAAGCCTGATTTGGTTACAGAACAGATATGTACAGGAGGTTCTAGATATATACTGACTGCAAAGCTTCTAAACACCATAACTACTAACATCTCTGGTTGACCCCATTCTGTATTTCCTGACAACAGTGTTGTATGGAAAAAAGGGGGTGTGTGGATGGGGGGGGGGGGGGGGGGGGGTAGTAATGGATTGTGATAATGGCAAGTGTACCTGCTCGTGCTGAGGGTTAGAACATAGGATTTCAGGACCTTTTCAATAGGCTTCTTCTCAGACATTCAGCTCTCAGCACATCTGCAATCATTTTCTCTCTGATCTCAATTCCATTCCTTATCCCCCCCCCCCTCCAATAATATGATAGGTGACGTCACAGGTAGATGACAGGATTGGTGATGCAAACCACCTTCTCCCAGGTAAACTGCCTCACTGCATTTTGTAAATTATATTAAAGACTGATGGTGTTGGTTTAGTTGTGTTTAGGGATAAACGTTTCTATCATGGATCTGAACACGAGCAAACTCCCTTGACTGCAGTAAGCAGGTTTTTGACAGATGGATTCCTGTTCCCATGAATCCATTTCAGTAAGAAAACACTGAACTGAGAATATTTAAACTCTATAGTGTTAAATCAGTATTACTGTACACAGGCAAAAATGAAGAACGCCTTTTATAATTACTAATAAGTTACAAAAATTTATTGGTCGCAGTGACTAGATCCTTGCATGTTGGTCCAAAAGTCTTGCTTGGGTTTGAACTCACTTAAAGGCAAATTTTTTACAATTTTTCTTGGCTTTGAGGCAAATCTAGGCTAAAATGTATGCCAGGAAATGACCTGGGAAATAAAGGTGGCAAGCATGACTGCCTTAATTGAATTTCGGTAACCAGTTTATCATTATTCTAAGTTTTTTGGCATGATAATGACACCCTTCCTGTGCCCATTTCGGAGCCCCATTGGGGGAGGGGGGGGGGGGGGACTGGGAAACAGATCTGCTGCCTCTCAACAAGCAAGTTGTAAAAGGTGACTAATTAGTTTGCTGAAATCAAATGTGTTGAACTGAAAAGAGCACAAATCGCAACCTAGCTGCAAACCACAACACTATGTGCCAATCACTTTTATAAGAGTGAATTCAGAAAGAAAGAAAAAAAAGACATAAAACAAAATGAAGATCTACCTAAAAGACATTATCACAGCAAAAGAACTAAAAAAAAAAAATCTTACCGACACATGAGCAACATTCAGTATACAGCTTCGAAAGACACACTTGGCAGTCACGGCAGCATGTGCAGTTTTTAAGATCATTCATCTCACAGTCGCAACAATTGATCAACATACACTTGCTGACCAGAGGTGCACAGATGGCCTCGTTGCAGGCATCCAGCTCATAAACACACACCATCATGGCCAGAACTACCAGGGACAGCTTCCAAATGGCATTCATCTTGTCTGAAAAACACAATTATATATGCATAAATAGCAGGCAACTCACTAAGAGGCTAAAGACAATAATAAATATTAGTATCCACTCCACGTGTAGGAATCACCGAGACGTGTCCCTGCAGCTTGGCACTCGAAAATGCTGAGCATGTGCTCCAACACTGTCAACTGTATGCTGACAACAGAGATGCAATCTGGCCTGTTCCAACCACAATGAAGACAAAGCTCTTGGTATACGAGAGGATAAGGACTGCACGACAGCTTTCATAAAGGCTACCGGCCTCCTGATATAAGTTTTGATAGCATTTTCTGGCTGAGCATGTCTTCCAACACTGTAAACGACTGATTGATTGGCACCTTTCTGTATTTCCAGAGGATAGTGCTATATTGTGATATGAGGAGGTATGGAACTCACAATGATAAAGAAGACATATACTGATGAGCACTCATAGAAAGAAAAGAGAGAGATAGGAGAACACACCGGACATCCATAAATACTAAAAGCTAAAGACTATACTATAGTTACCACAGCCAGTCAAACCTATCAACTATGAATGATGACCGTGACTCACTGCAAGTGTCCTTCTATCTCTCTATTTCTTTCTAGAATTAATCAAGTAACAGAAAGTATTGTGAACGGCACTCATAGAAAGAAGTAGAAAGATAGAAGAACACACTAGACAACATAAAAATCAAAAGCTATAGTTACCGTGCCGGGAATTGAACCTGTCACCTCCAGACGGCGTCTGCGCCTCGCCATGAATACAAGTGCACTAAGATACATGGTCAACTAGGCACCCCATAAAGGTGTCTCACTGGCCATGTCTATCGTACAGCTTTATTTATTTATTTCTAGTCAGTTTGTTCGTTATGTCAGAATATTTTCTATGACCCCACACCTGCTTATTATGAAAGTGAAGTCCTTGAGTAGAATTTCACACTGACCTGAACTGACAAGAAACGTAGGACAGTCTTTCTGGACTCCCTTTCTTGCATTCTCCGGGAGTATGCAGGAAACTAAAATTCACACTCTCCAGAAAAGCAGTATGGCTAACAATCATCATCATCATCACCAGTCAGTCAGTGTTATCCTGTCTTTGTATCCCCTTCTGACCTGATCCTGTTGCAGAACCTGAATGTTGCCTGCACACCAGTTTTAGTTTTACAGATCTGACTCACTTGTAAGCAGACTGTTGGTTAATTGCCTCTCTTGCAGATATACTCTGATTGACTTTGAAGGAAGCTTCCCATTAGTCCATTAGAACTCTTACTACAAACAAAGGCCTTCTCACGAAAGACTTCACAGGACTAGAAGTTAGAAGAGTCATCATGGATGGTATGGTAAACAAAATTAAATTACTATTTCGAAGGCTCTCCTCTGAACTTCTACCCTATATTATGGCGGCCAAACAAATACCCTAACAAGGCCTCAGTTCTATGCAAAATGCGGAGTTCCAGCCGAGGAACAAATCTCAGCAAAAACTAGGATTGGCTCCCAATAACGAAACAAATGCTCTAACAGGGTCTCAGCGATATGTTAATTGCGGACCAGTTTCTGCGACTATGCTGTACCACCGACAGTATCCCCTGCACCGTTAGGCGCAGATGGGGGGATAAACTAAATGGCTGGGATTCACGAGCAGCAGCTACCGCATCTGTTGCAACTTCCTCCAGTTACTTTGCTCGTGAGTCCCAAGCACCTAGTTTAGCCCCCCATCCGCGCCGTGCTTTCATCGTCTGTAATGTCTCGAAATTGTCAACGGTCGCTTTTATCGTCTGCAGAAAACGCTCGACATTGTCACCGGTCGCTTTTATCGTCTGCAATATTGCATGACGTGACATTGCAAGGTACTCCTAGTTTTGCAGCAATTTGTTCCTCGGCGGGAACTCTGACAAGTCCGTATTTTTAATTGGACTGCGGCCCGAACAGATATTTCAGGCCGCAATACTGCAGGGGTAGAAGTTTGGAGGAGAGCCGAAATCGGCTTTCCTTTCAACTTCAGCTGGTAGACAAACATCGACAGCCGGTTAGTCGGAGTTATGTCCCCTTGCTACAGTGCAATTACGGACTGGACAGGAGGGAACGAAACAAATGACATAATTACTGTGTTGCCGATAGACAGCATACGGTTACGGTTTGGTTTAGCGGTAGGATTAGGTTTAGGGTGTGGGTTAATGTTACTATCGCCGTATCTCGTCTTCGCACAAACTCATAGTAGCAACCCAAACCCTAACCCAAACCCTACCCCTAACGCTAGGGCACTGCCCGCTGTCTGTCGCCGACACACAGTAACTATGTCACTTGTCTCGTTCCCTCTAGTCCACTCCGTAATGCGTCGGAAGAGGTGGTAAACAATTACTAATTGAACGCGGTTGCTAATTTAAGTGGCAGCGCGGGGTCTGCATGTCAACCTTACTGTGTTGTTTGAGTCGTGCCGTCTCCAGTCCGTAATTGCACTGTAGCAAGGGGACACCGGCCGAAGTTGAAAGGAGAGCCCTGAAATCTTTCACCTTTCCTATTTCCCTAAAATTTTAAAAGCCTTTTTCCTGTCTAGAAACGGAGATTCTCTGGGAAAAGATCACTAATCGCCATACACAAAGTACAGTACACAGCAGACACAATGAATTGAAACAACAGCAGAGGATAAGAGACGGAGACGAGTCACCATTGCATTCGCAACTAAATAAAAATTGATAAATTGTTAATAAGGCCAAACTCGAAATTGAATGAAGAATGAATCATCAATAATAAAATAATGTTTACTCCACTCTAGTAAAGCAATCAGGAACAATGCATTTTACTTGTAAATCATAAACACACATTATTCTTACGGACTGAAGCTTCCAGCGCTGTACTATTGTATCAACAAATGAAAATAATACACTTCTCGAGCCGACATGCAACTTCAGTCCAATACTGCAGCAAGTTTCAATCCTTTGTGCGGAAAGTTAAAAATCCGAACCGGAGGTCCCATGTCCATTCCATCGCGCTGAAGAAATATCTAATTTAGAATTAGTAGATACAAATTACTCATTCGAATAACCTATTATGGAAGTGGATGATAGGACAATATTTTTCTTCGTTCAATTTTAGGTTATAACTGTGCATATACAATGTTAATTACAATTCTTTGTTCAAAACTTGTTTGAATAGGAAAGCGCTCACACTTTTTTATTAACCAACTATTTTGGAGTGGCAAACAGCATCATCAAGTGCATTGTCATTCCCACCTGAACTTGTTTCTTGCCGTTCGAGCAGATGCACTTTGGGTCCTCTTGACGCACATAAGGATTTTCTACAACCAGTTTCTTTTTCTTCTTCGCATTCACTGGCTGTAAACTTTGGCGGAAAATTCTGGGTGTTCACCCACCTCTGGACCTTAGTCTTGTTCCAGAACCTGAGCGTTGCATGCACATGCGTTTCACAGATCTGCCTCATTTGTGTGCAGACTCTTAGTTTTTTGGCCGCTCAAACAGATGCATTCCGACTTTAAAGAAAGCCATCAGTTAGTCGACTCCTTTGAGAGTTTTGTTGGGGAGGCAGTGGGTCTATTCTTGTTTTCCCCACAATGGGGCCCTGGAACCCACACAGGGAGTAAAAGGTGACTAATTAGGAATGTTTACTTTTAACCCAGAGCGCATCTCCCTGAGAGATAAGGAACCAATAGTCTGCACACAAATAAGCCAGATTTGTAAAACGGATGCACACATAAACAGAAGTTGTAGAACAAAAGCAAAGTCTAGACGTGGAGGAGGAACAAGAACTTTTTGCGGGAGTTTTCAGCTTGTGAATGCTAAGAAGAAAAAGAAGAAGAAGAAGAACCCCATGGAGCATAGGCCGTCAACCAACTTAGACCAAGTCGTCCTATCCTTTGCTGTCAAATGCAGATCATCTCATGCCCTTCCTATGTTTTTAACACAATATTTTCTAACACAATATGTCCAACATGTGTCAAAGGATGGAAACAAATCCTTTACTTACTTCGACAGTTTTTGCTCTGTTAGCTAACCACTGTCCTCATTGGTTAACAGTTGCATATATTCAGGATCAAAAGAAAATGCCAGATTGTTGGGAGAGAGAGAGAGAGAGAGAGAGAGAGAGAGAGAGAGAGAGAGAGAGGGGGGGGGAAGGGGAGGGTTGCGTGTGCGCACTTGCGTGTTTGTGCGTGTGTGTAAGTTTTTATTTTTTATTTGAAGAAGCCACTGAAACTTAAAGAATATAATATACAGTGGTACTTTAGTATACATTATGAAACCTTTTTAGATCGTTGGACTTTTACGAAACAGGACGCATACCTAATATATTTTCTTATAACAAATAATGGGAGAATGAATAATTCGTTTCCAATTCCACACACACACACAAAATTTCATTATTGGCATAGTATACATTAACGAGGATGTATACAATAGTTTAAACACAGCTTAGTACACCACTACTAAGGCAATTAGATAAAAAAAAATTAACATCATTTTACTTTGCTGAGATGGTGTTGAGAAAAGAGGATGAGATACCATTGTTTAAAAGGATAGTCATCTTGCAATAAAACTTCAGGAATTTGAAATTCTGTTTTTCCCCCGACCATGCCCCCCACCCCCACCCTGTATCTTTTCCCTATTTGACGTTGGTTAAGGCTCTCTAGTTTTGACATTTACAATCAAAACAACCACAAATAAAATGTCTAACGAAACTTTGCTTTTTTTTCAAGACGTATCAGAAATGCGACATTGATCATTCCAGACAATTGTTTTGTCTCTCGAGAGGTAAACAATGATCGTACGCGGTGTCGTGACTTATTTTGACTCACAGAAGTTCTACCACCCAGCCATTTTCTAAACAAATTCCCCCTCCCCGCCCCTTTCTGATTGTAGTATGAAGAGGAGCGACGTTCTGTAAAGGACTTGCTACATGATAATGATGATCTCTGGCGTATAAGAGTTAAAACGGTAACATCTCCCAAGTGCCCGCCTAAACAATAAATAAACTACAATACCGGCTTTGTC